TCCGCCCCTCGCAGCCGCCTCCCGTCCGCCGCAGGTCCGCAAGGTTCCCACCCCGCCCGCGTCGCCGGCGCGGAGGCCACGCCGCCTTCCATTGGCTCCCCCAGTTGCTAGGCGATGAACAACCGCGGCCTGCATTGGTCGGGTGGGGGCCCGCGGAGTCTCCTCCCCACCTCCAAAAAAACCCGGAGAAAAAGAGAACCTTATCCCCAGAGCCGGAGCGGGATGGGGCGCAGCTGCAGCGCGGCACCTGTTATGCCCTGTGATTCACCCGGCCGGGCCCTGCTCTCCGCCCCCTCTCAAGCTGCAACCTCGGGGCCCAGGGTCGGTGGGGGAAGGGGGGTCGTAGCTGCTTTAAAGCACATGTTCCCAGCCGCAGTGAACCCCGACACCCACCGTTAGGCCAAAAGTGAAGCCCCCCAGAATAAGCACGTGAACTTGCAAAAGAGGAGACATAAACTGAACACCCATAATTAGGTCAGGCCCAGGAGAAGGGAGGCCCCCAGAGCCTGGGGAATCCTGGATGCAAAATGACCCGAGCAGGAGAAAGTTATATGTAAAAGTAGGGCAAGGAAATGAACCTAGGCAATAAACAGCGCGATGCCTACGTAACCGCAGTCTTGAACTAGCAGTTTATGCAAAAATGTTTAACACCCACTCAGCAAAATCTGTGCAAAGAAAATGTATGCTTGCAGCACCCGTAACCTGGGTCAGGCAGGCTCCTCCCCGCTCCTTGTCAGCCTAAAATTCTCTCCAGGGGAGGAAGAGGCCAAAAAGGGAAAGCTATCAGATGGGGAATACTCAAGCAAAGATATACTTTGGTGTATTTTTAAAGTGAAAACCAAGGGATTTACTCGAGGAAGAAAACGAGTTGGGCGGCTCCTGAAAGCACTTTGAAAACCAAAATAGTGTGAGACAGGAACAAGAAATATTAGCACTGAAAAAGGAGGCAATGGCCCTCTCCCAATGTAGGAGCACACACACCCAACCCCTATGAAAGATCAAGGCTGGGAATGAGCGTGACCTGTAAATACTTCAGACTCCAGCGAATCCCCATCTCTACCTTGGGCCCAAGGGTGGTCGGGAAGTCCGGTCAGACATCATTTAGTGTAAGTGAATGATGGCCAAACAAGCTGGAGGGCCGGTTATTGCGAGACGTGCTTATTAATGGCTGGTGGTAGATGGTAGAGAGGAAGAAACCAGTTATGACCAATGTTTACTCTAATCCAGACTGCTGATGGGAGGGGGCACCCCTGCTCCTGAGAGGGGTTCTAACTGCCCAACACCCCCCCCCCAAAGGCCACACTCCTTTCTTTGAAATAACACTTAAGTTTTCATTTGAAAGTTTCACTTCTTAATCAACAAGCCAGAGTTCACTCTTTGATTTGCCGGAAGAGTTGATACCAAGATATAGTATATAGTAGGCTAGGTCTGATACACCTGTTGTGCCCCAACCGCTAAACAACGGAGGCCTTTAAGGTTGAGTCAGGCCAAGATGAGCGCCAGTTAGGATTTGCTGCCAGCCCTAAGAATGAATCAGATCTGCTTAAATAAACCAGTGGCTTTCAATTTTTTGGTGTCAGTACCCCCTTTCTGCTCACAAGGCTAGAAGAGCTTTTGTTTACCTGGATTAGATCTATGGATCTTTGCCACACTAAAAGTATAACTAGCACATTTTATGGGAAATAACTATACTTTTCCCACAAAATAGTATAAAAGGTGGCATTTAAAATTTTGCAGATATCTTAATGTTCAGTTTAATGGAGAACAATTGGATTTTCAAACCTCCTGCATTTGATCTGCTGCACTATTTCAGGTAACTTTTGGGAAACTCCATTGTACACACATGAGTTTATAGGAGTAAATGGCAGGCATCATTTTAGTATTGTTCTGAAAATAGTACTGACTTTGCAATTTCCCTCACAGGGCCTTGGTGATCCTCCTTGGTGATCCTCCCCAATGATCTAAAGAGAACCAGTGATCCAAACCTGTCTTGGTACTCTGTGTCCCTCTGTTGATGATTAGGTTAAGACCTGACCATGTGCTCGAATTCTAATCAGTACATAATGAGGAATGGGGTGAAGGATGAGGCTGAGGTTCCAGGGAGATGTGCTTTATCCCTGATGGTCCATAAGTCTTTTCCTTACTTCTTGGCTCAACCATACTCCAGTGAGTACGATGTGTTTGGAGCTGTGATGGTTTAACCCAACAACATAGCTGTGATGGTATAACTCAACAAAAACCCAGAAGAGCAGACCCAGAACTCAGGCTTCACTAAGTCGCTAAATTAATCTACCTTCTTCTGTATATCTTCAGAGTGATCACATGTGATAAAGTAAATAAGCAATTTCTGCAGCCATTTTGGATCAGGTATTTGGTGTCTTGCAACCAAGAAGATCCAGACTGATAAAGAACAAGATAAAGAATTGGGTTGCAGCCTGAGAATAGTCTAAAAACACAGCCCAGGAGGACTAAAAGAAATAGACTTGATAGACTATTGCTATGGCAAAGGAAGACAAAGGGTTATAATCTGGTATTTTGTTGTTAATGCTTTCCTCTCTCTAGCAAAATTAAAGGAACGTGGTTATGAAGAGATTTTGTTTTCCAAAACGCATCATAACTTTCACCCTTACTTCTCCAGAGTCTGTCTATATCAGTGTCCACAGTACTTCTTTAAAAATAAAATTCGGGCCCTCCCTGGTGGCGCAGTGGGTTAAAGCACAGCACTAAGAAGCTAAAGCCACTTCAGCATGAGTTCCATCCCTGCCACGGAGATGACCCACATGGCGCAGCAGACCTCTCCTGACCTGCCCGCTGCTCCCCTCAGCAGTGTACTTCGTTGATCTGTCTGTTCTGCTTCCCACTCTGTCTCTGGTGAAGCTTCTCCCCCAACCCTGCACCTCTGGCCTATACCCCAATTCTGTGTGCATAAATAAATAAATCTTTAAAAAATGAAAAATAAAATTCACAACATGTCACTTTTCTGCTTGAATTCCCTCAATCAATATCAAAGTCATTTTGACTGACTCAAAGTTCTTTCATGGCTGCAGGGTTCTGTAAAATTTGGTATGGTATAATCCGGTCTCCATCTACTTACCTCTCTGACCTCAGTTCCTACAACTCTTTTCCTTACTATTTATTCCTCCAGAGCTGCTTTACTATTTACTCCTCAACCTTGGCAGGTGTATTTCTGCCTCAGGACCTTTGCACACTACTGATTTCTTCTGTTTGAATGTTCTTAACATTTATATTACTTTCCTCTCTCCCTTTTAAGTCTGTTCAATCTGTCAACATTATTTAAAATTAAATCCCTTTCCAATTTCCAAGTTTCTCTTGTTCTTATATAATCCTCACCATAAAATAAAAGTTCACTTCCGTTGTCTATTTGCCCCATCTCCCTTCACTAGAATGGAAAACTAATGAGGGCAGAGATTTTGTCTGTTTGTTCATATGTATATATACCCAGTGGTTACTTAATGGTTGTTGCTTAATAATTATTTAGTGAAGAAATGAACATACCTTCAAGTAAATGTTTTTCATTTCAAAGTAATCACCTTAGCAGGCTGTATACATATTCCATAGGTGCTGTGCTGTGCAGAAGTTATCACACCAGTAAAGCACTGTTCGTTGAAAATTATTTTTTTCTTAGAATCAGACGCTTGGAACATTCCAAAAGCCAGTCAGAGTCAAATCTAATTAACATATTCTGGAGCCATGTTAAAATGTCAAACCCATATCTCCCAACAAAGTTATTACATTTTGGGTGGATTAGGAGTGAAAGGTCAAAATCAAGATGTGCTTGATTTTTTCAGACAAATGGTGAACTGACTCTAAAGATAATTTCAAAAAGGAGTCCAAAAAATGTGTATCAGTAGCAAGTTGTAGAAAAGTACCAGATGCCACCATTTTATTTAAAAAATATATACATATATAGAACTTTAAAACTATAATAAATATATTTTAAACTCCATATATTTGTGTATACGTGTGAATGAATTTCTTCCAGTATGTCTGCAGACTTTCATCTTTGCCCCCAGCATATCAGTCTTTCAAAAATACAGATCAGATCTTCTTTACCCCTCTCCCCCAACCCCATTGAGAACCTTTAGTGGTGTCTCAGTGTATTTAGTATGACATTGAACTTCCCAGTTATCTCGCTTCCATATGCCTCTAGGAACTCTCACTTTGGCACACAAAGTGCCAGTCTCAGTTCTTTCTGTTCCTCTTCCTTTGAAACTGCCATCTAATCTGACTGGAAGCTTCTTCCCACAAGCGTTCAAGACTAGATGACTTTTCATCACTGGGATTCCAACTACACACGTCAATATAAAGCAACTTTACCAGGCTTGATTTTACGTATTCGTTTCCTGGTTCGAGCTCCATCATCTCCTACTAGAATGCAAGCCTCCTGGTGGCAGACACTGGGTGGATGGTGTTGGCCTCTGTAGTTTTGTCCCTCCAGCCTGCATGAGGGTTACTAACCAAACTGAGACTACTGAGAAAGGAGGGAGGAAGACAGGAGAGAAGGAACATCTGCTTAACATTTTTAAAAAAGATTTATTTATTTATACATACAGAACTGGGGTACAGGCCAGAAGTGCAGGGGCGGTGAGAGGCTTCACCAGAGACAGAGTGGGGAGTA